TTGTTGCGTAAGAATCAATTTGAAACACTTATTGTTAGGTTTATCGCCGCTAATAGCCGAGCCTTTTGGGCACCCTCCTGCCCCCCCGCTCATCTTGTCTGCTACTGCCATTGAACCTGCGTACATTGCGTTTTTTTCTGTCTGCGTTTTTTCCGTTGGTTTGTGTTCTTTGCGTTTTTGTGGGGGGGGGGGGGGGGTTAGTGTGTAATGTTTAGTGGTGGTGGTGGGTGTGTTCTCAATGGTGGTGGTGGTTGTTGGGTAGTGGAGGCTGGTTGTACTGGTGGTATTACCAGCGGTGGTGCTGGTTATGGAGGTGGTGGTAGGCTTGTTGAGGTTGTTGAAATACAACAGGTTTTCTGAGGTTGTTTCTTACTGTGGTACGTTCATAGTGTGGTTGGTAGAGCTGGGGGACTCCCGCTTTTGTGGTCCCCGGTTCGAGGCTTCGATAGTCCTAGTGACTGAAATAGTTCTAGATAGCTTCGGGATTTGTGATTTGTTCTATTTATATAAATACGATGAAATCCTTATAATTTTCTTTCAACGGTTGTGCTTCTCTCTATATGTAAAAACCCAAGCAATTACCAATCTTTGTAATTTATTCTGGTACGTAATACGATTGGTGGTGGTGATTGGTGGTTTCCATATGCAGGCGACGAGTCACAATAACGTGGCTAAAGTATGTTGACCAGACCACACACTAGAAGGTGAAGGGACGACGACGTTTCGGTCCGTCCTGTACCATGCTCCATTTGGACCTGGAGAATGGTCCAGGACGGACCGAAACGTCGTCGATCGTCCCTTCACCTTCTAGTGTGTGGTCTGGTCAACAGATTAATGGGTTTTGACAGTTTGGTGAATGGGGGACATGTTGAGTACACCATCGGGGATTTGTAATCGTTAAATGGTTAACAACCCCAACTACCTCATTGTTCATAGTAAAGAACTCTACAAGACATTGTTTTCTACCGTCAATGACGGCCTATTAAGCTTCGGATTATTACCCAGTTCTACTCTAAAAATCCTTTTGTATACTTCCATTAGTTCTTATGTTCATCCCATTACTTGTCATCATATTTTGTGGAGTAGCACTCCAAGTTGTAATTCTTTTGACCATGTCGTGGCACAGTTGACTAGAGCGCGTCTGGGAACACTCAACACATTGGTTCGAACCCTCATCACGGCCCCTGTGGATTTGTTAGATTTAGATTTTTTATTCAGGTAAAGATATATACGTTTAAGATGAGTTACAAAAATAATGTTGGATTTAAAGATAGAGGTAGTACAATGTATTGGTACATACAATACCTGCTGCTTGACTGCTTGATGGGGTGCTGGGAGTTCTTCTACTCCCCAAGCCCGGCCCGAGGCCAGGCTTGACTTGTGAGAGTTTGGTCCACTAGGCTGTTGCTTGGAGCGGCCCGCAGGCCCACATATACCTGGTTGATGGTGTTCTGGGAGTTCTTCTACTCCCCAAGCCCGGCCCGAGGCCAGGCTTGACTTGTGAGAGTCTGGTCCACTAGGCTGTTGCTTGGATCGGCCCGCAGGCCCACATATACCTGGTTGATGGTGTTCTGGGAGTTCTTCTACTCCCCAAGCCCGGCCCGAGGCCAGGCTTGACTTGTGAGAGTTTGGTCCACTAGGCTGTTGCTTGGAGCGGCCCGCAGGCCCACATACACCTGGTTGATGGTGTTCTGGGAGTTCTTCTACTCCCCAAGCCCGGCCCGAGGCCAGGCTTGACTTGTGAGAGTTTGGTCCACTAGGCTGTTGCTTGGAGCGGCCCGCAAGCCCACATTCCCACCAAAAGCCACTAATACGCATAGATTTCGGGCAACGTGTTCCGTGTTCTTTGATATATCACGTTAATGGGATTTCTCTGTGTATAATATACATCAGCCCGCTTTGCATATGTCAACAAACATTTGTCATGTGCGAATGGAGAGCTGCTCCAGCTGTCGTGGGGTACGGTTGTTTCCGTCCGGCCGCTGCAGTTGTTGACCCGGCGAGGAGTGAGGACCTGGTATCGCTGCTGACGTGGCTTGTGTACCGTGTTATTGCTGAGGGGCCCTTGGGGCTTCGTACCACGCTGTGGAGGTGGTAATGATTGATATGTTACGTGTCCAAGTGGAGTCTGTATGTGGTGTGCAGCTGCTCGCCGGTCGGCGGGCGATAGTCAAGTTCAACTCTCCGGCGATTTATCAAGATATCGTCACGCGCTATGATGGGCGCTCTTTCGATCTTCCTGGGGATGGTGGGTCGGTAACCCTATCCGACCGTTGTGGAGCCACGACGTATGTGGCTGTGCATGGGATGCCTTTTGAGTTCCCTGAGGATCTTCTACGTAGGTACTTTGCCCGGTTTGGGCGGGTTCTACATGTGAGGATGAATGCTGTCCCTACCGGGAGATGGAAGGGGGTTCCGTGTGGGACCCGCACTCTCGCCATGCGCCTCCGGGGTTCTGTGTGGGACCCGCACTCTCGCCATGCGCCTCCGGGGTTCTGTGCCGTCCTCCATCATGCTGTTAGGGTTCCCGATTCGTGTTTTTCACGCAGGACAACCTCGGACTTGTTTCCGGTGCGGCCTGCCGGGTCACCTGGCCGCCGGGTGTGAGGAGCGCCGGGTCACCCCTGTCAACCTTTTCCAGGAGGAGGATTTTCCCCCGCTGTCGGCCCCGGACCTGTCTCCCCGTGATGGTCAGGATGTTGCTTCCCTGCTGGTTTCCACCCCGGTGTTGGATGGTGGTGTGGATGTTGACGTAGGGGTTGTGGCGGCCTCGCCCCCGTCACCGGCTTCCCCGCCTTCGACGTCCCTGCCCCTGTCGCCCCTGCCCGCTCCGTCTCAGCCGCCCGTGCCTGCTCCGTCCCTACATGTGGCGTCTCCTGTCCCTTTGGATGTTAGCGGCGGGGAGTCTCCTGTGGTGTGTGGTCCAGTGCCCCCGGTCGTGGAGGCTGCGGTTCTTAGGGGCCGGGCCTTGAAAGCGCGTCCATTGGAGTGTTCTACTGTGTTATGGGATGATGGGGGTGATAGCTTGGGTGACCGGCAGCCTGTCTCCAAGCGCTCGAGACGGGTCCGGAGTGTGTCCCCCCTTCGTGGGGTACCTTGGGTGGAGGTGGAAGAATACGTTGTTCCGACGTCTCCTGTCGTGGTTGGCGGTGCTGTGAGGGGCTCTGTGCTGCCTCCGGAATCACCCCCTATACCTACTGCTGATGACTCCCCTCGGTGGGAGGTTGCTCCTGCCGCACGGGACCTCGCCGTGGTCTTACGGAAGGATGTGCGCCGAGGTGCCTCTGCTCATCTGCTTGGTGGAGGGGGCCCCGACTCGTCTGTGTCCTCTGCGGGTTCCCTTAGTGTACAGCCTCGTGTGAAGCCTCGTGAGAAGCTTCGTTCGCCGGTTGGTACGGAGCCCTGTGCGGCGCCCGACGAACCTCCCACTGCCAGTGCCGATACCAGTGCGAAACCACCTAGTGTGGACCCCCTCCCTGTGCTCGCTGCCGGCGGGGGCGTGGTCCCTAAGTCACGGGTTTTGGACCTCGTTTGGGACGACCGGGTGCGTGAGGGCCCGTGGTGCTCGTCGACTATTTGGGTACCGAGGTTGAAGGGGTTTATTTATGGGGTGCCTGATTGGATGCCTCGGCCTTGTGCGTCTCCTGGTAGACAAGTGTCCGAGGACGTCCAGCTGGTCTGGGAGGCGTACTGCTTGCGCTTCCCAGCCAAGGAGTTTCCAGACAAGTATCGTTAGCGCCTGTGTTTCTTTGGGTACTCTGTTTATTTTCTTACCGTGTCTGCGGTTCTGTCTGGTTTGGTTTCGCCCTGTTGGGCGGTGTGTTTGTGTATTTGTTCTGAGTGCACTTTTTTTTGGCTGTGCTGTGTGTGTGTTGGTTCTAGGGCTGTTTGTGTGTGTTGGTTCTTGGGCTGTTTGTGTGTGTGTTGGTTGTTTATCTCTCAGAATGTTTGGTAATATGTTTATTGTTTGTGATGTGTGTCTATGTATGTATTAACACGATGTACTGAACGGGGTGAGAATAGCTTGAGCTACCTCATCCCTTTGTGTGTATTTTACCTCAATAAACTTATTTCAATTTTAATTTCAATTTGATGTTGACAGAATTCTGAGTACCTATTGCATCTCTGTTTTTCAACGGGGGCTATTTTGCACCTCCTGCCATGCCTCCTGGTCTCATGTGGTGTTATTTCCGTGTACAGATTTAGAACCAATCTCCTCTAACTTTTTCTAAGTGTAAATTATTTATGTCTGGCCAGCCTGCGCTCTAGAGTATACAGATTTATACATTCTAAACGCTCCCAATATTTTCGATGTTTATCAAATGGGTTTGGACAGTTGAAGATAGCTGCTCGTTTTTCAGGTCAACAACTTCTCCCAGCACTGAATGGGGCTGTTAGTGTGTAACAATATTCCACCCGAGAGAGCGCTGGTGTCATTGAAAGTACCATCATTGGTCTGGCATCTCTTGTTTGAAAGGCCCTTGTTATCCAGACTGTCATTTTTTCTTGCATTTGTGACAGATATTTTATTAAACCTCAGGTCACTGAAAGACAGAAGGGTTAGGGTGGAGATGATTACCACATACAAAATGAAAGGGAAATATATATATATATGGCAGACAAGGACATAATTTGGGATGGGTGGTACACGAAAAAATGGGATATGGGTTGAAGTCAAGTGCCCAGGGGCCAGATTCACGAAAGCACTTACGAACCTGTACATCTTTTCTCAATCTTTGACGGCTTTGTTTCCAATTATTAAACAGTTAATGAGCTCTGAAGCACCAGGAGGCTGTTTATAACAATAACAACAGTTGAATGACAAGTTTTCATGCTTGTAAACTGTTTAATAAATGTAACCAAAGCCGTCAAAGATTGAGAAAAGGTGTACACATTCGTAAGTACTTGCGTGAATCTGGCCCTAGATGTTTAGCCTTGGGTTTGTATTCAACAGCTTGTGTACTGTGTGCTAAACCATGCGTTTTGCTCTTCCCCAACAGGCCAGTTCCGCTCCCCCGAGATCACAGAACACCCGGCCGACCTGCTGGTGCCCAAGAACGAGCCCGCTACTCTCAACTGCCACGCCGTGGGCAGACCCGAACCGGAGATCACTTGGTACAAGGACGGACAGCCCTTCGCGTGAGTCTCTCTGTTTTCTGTTACGTACATCATGGTCTAGTTGGTAATGTGTGCGTCTGGAGGTGAACGCGAGTTCGATTCGGTTGTATTGCTTCAAAAAGATTGTCTCATGGATATATCACGCTGTTGTGGTTTCATGGTGCACATGCAGGTGGGGATGATGAGATCATCATTTCGTAGTTGTTGTTGTAGAGAGCAATGAGCCAGCACTAGGAAACTTGTCATGAGTATTCTTAAGTACGTGAGTAGGGGTGGAATAGTTGTAGAGTTCCAGGTACTTCATACCGATAGTTTCTAACGGTCTAATTGGTCTTGGAGTATACGGCTCCAGCGTGGGAGTCCATATCTAGTTAAACACCACACAAATTTAGAACACGTTTAGAGTTATGCCACCAGACTAGTCTCAGAGCTGAAAGCTATGAGTTACGAGGAATGGCTACAGAAATTAAACCTCACGTCGCTGGAAGACAGAGAAGTTATGGGAGACATAACGCGATACAAAATAATCAGGGGGATTTGTAGAGGTAGATACAAACAATTTAACACATGTGCTACTCTAACAAGGAGAGACAGGCGGAATGTAAGTATTCAAATGAGCCACACAGAGTAGAAAGAATTTAAGTGTCAGAGTAGTTAGCACATCACTAGGAAGTGATGTGGTGGAGGCAGATTCCATACACAGCTTCAAATGTAGATATGATAGTCCAATAGGCTCAGGGGAACCTTTACACCAATTGATGGACGGTTGAGAGGCGGGACCAGAGTTGCGTGTGTGTTCACCTAACTGTGTTCAACCCCCCCCCCCCGAGCACAAGTGAGTACACACGTTTGTGTAAGTGTATGTATGTGTACCCTAAAATACACTATCACCATTGATGCCACGCAAACATACGCTCCTTAAATCTATGAATGACACCCTTAAACACACACGCTGTGAATGGCAGCCTAACACACACACACACACTATCTCAGTGAATGGCATCCCTAAACACATACTATCACAGCTGGTGTCGTGTAAACACGAGCGTATCACCCTCTGCCGTGTTATGTGGTGTGAATGGTGCCAACGTTTGGCGGGTCTTGTATATTACGTGTCACTGACAGCTGGCTCCCTCCTCGCTGTCAGCACGAAGTTCTGTATTCTCTATTCTGTTGTATCCTCTGTACTTTGTTACATGGTCTTTCCTAGTCCTTTATACCCCCTTTTTTAATGTTTTATCTAACTTCTTACTCATTTTTTTCATGTTTAGTCTCCAGTAATGCATTTTCCCTCATTCGCTTCATTTTGAATTTTGTTAGGGATTTGTTCTACCTTTCTTCTGGGGGTGTAGACTTTCCCCTAACCTGTGACATGGTGTGACTCTCATGTACAGTCACAAACCAAGATTACCACTTGAGTTTTAACATCTCAGACGCGGTTAAACACATTATATATAACATTACTGAAGCCGACATAATCGGGCACTCGCCCAGCGCTTAAGACTGAAATGAGTAACACTTAATGTACCAACCAGAGACGTAGAATAATATCCCAGAATTTTTTTTTAACATTCCACTGGTTCAAGCGTGATGGAGACTCAATGTTCCTCTCTCTCCTCCCCCTTGCAGCCTACACAAGGGTCGCCATGTGCAGCTGGACACTGGGGGGCTCTTCTTCCTGAAGGTGCTCCACACCAAGAAGGACAACGATGCTGGGGTCTACTGGTGCGTCGCGTCCAACTCCATCGGCAAGGTCACCAGCAGGAACGCCACGCTCGAGATCGCCGGTGAGTTGAGCTTTCTATTTGTTACTCCCGAATATTGTGGTGATACCTGCTTGATGGGGTTCTGGGAGTTCTTCTACTCACCAAGCCCGGCCCGAGGCCAGGCTCGACGTGTTCACTTACGGTACGTGTTCACTTCACTTACGCGACGGTAAGTGTTCACTTCCCACCTGGTAAGTGAAGGCACTATGCACGGATTGTAACTTGGTGTGTGATTTGGTATGAATGGCAAATATTACTGCCACCAATTGCTCTTGATATCTGAGTGTGTCCGAAATTTTGTTTACAACTTGCATGATTGGTCCCATCAGTTTATTGCTTATGACTTCAAGGTGCTAAATTACTAGGGGCAATCTTGCCTTGAGTCTTTGTGGGAGGTGTGTAAGATAGGTGTGAATGGAGCTCCAGGTACTGCCAGTTGCTTACTTTATCAAATATTCTTTGATAGAATTATTTCATGAGAAACATACCACCACCACCACCATCACTATCACCACCACCACCACCACTATCACCACCATTACCACCACCACCAGTTGAGGAAGCCACCTCCATCCACAACTTTAAGGCCAGACTGGACAAAGAATTCGACCGTTAGAATAGTTAAATTATTACGCAACAGGTACAACACTAATAGCAAGCGGGGTATAGAGAGCTAGAACTCGCTTCTCTGTAGTCACTGATAGGTAAACACCGTTACTAACACCACCACGATCAATAAAATCATTGCAATAAAGAAAGAATTATAGTGCAAGTAAATGAAAACATTTAATACATCTTCCCGCAACCTCTGTTTTTCTTCCCTGTTGCCTTCCGTCTCCACCTTAGCTCCCTAACCCTCTCCCCCACCTGTCTCCTCCCTGCCCCCCTCTCCCCCCTCTCCCCCCACCTGTCTCCTCCCTGCCCCCTCTCCCCCACCTGTCTCCTCCCTGCCCCCCTCTCCCCCACCTGTCTCCTCCCTGCCCCCCTCTCCCCCACCTGTCTCCTCCCTGCCCCCCCTCTCCCCCCACCTGTCTCCTCCCTGCCCCCCTCTCCCCCACCTGTCTCCTCCCTGCCCCCCTCTCCCCCACCTGTCTCCTCCCTGCCCCCCTCTCCCCCACCTGTCTCCTCCCTGCCCCCCTCTCCCCCCACCTCGGACTTGTCGAAGGTAGGTAAAAGCCTGGTAATAATCGGGCTGACTAAGGCTTCACTTCAAAGGGCTCTCGATCACTGTCGTTGATGGGAGGAGATACGGTCAGTGGGGAGCTTGTCTTGTCTCCCCCTACCCTCACTTCCCCTGGAGAGGCACTCCTACCCACATTCCCTACCCACCCACCCCCCCCCTCCCTCACCCATAGCCACCCCCCACACTCCCCCACCCATAGCCACCCCCCACACTCCTAGGGTCACCCATATCCTTCATCCTTCCTTACGAGTGTCATCCACACTTTTCTTTTTTCTTGCCACTTTCTCCATCACCTTTATTCTCACTCACCCTTAATCTCCATCACTCTTCATCTTCCATCACCTTTAATCCTCCAGCACCCTTAATCCTCCAGCACCCTTAATCCTCCAGCACCCTTAATCCTCCAGCACCCTTAATCCTCCAGCACCCTTATCCTCCAGCACCCTTATCCTCCTTCTCGTTTATGTTTACCGGTTCCCCTCATCCCACGAGCCGCGCCCTGCTCGTCAACAACCAAGGTCGTTAGACTAAATTGACTACGATTCTGGATCCACTTGTGTCCCTTCGTTGCATTTATATTTGTATACTCGAGATTTAAGCGTACAAATTGAACGCAATTATTTTGAGTACAAGCACTGGAAAAATTACGTTTCAGTACTGATGGGCCCATACGGATAATAAGGCCCTTACGGACGATGGGGGGGCCTTACGGATGATGGGGGGCCTTTACGGACGATGGGGGGCCCTTACGGACGATGGGGGGGGGCCCTTACGGACGATGAGGGGGCCTTACGGATGATGAGGGGGCCTTACGGACGATGGGGGGCCCATACGGATGATGGGGGGGGGGCCCATACGGACGATGGGGGCCCATACGGACGACGGGGGGCCCTTACGGACGATGGGGGGGCCCTTACGGACGATGGGGGGGGCCATACGGACGATGGGGGGGGGCCATACGGACCGTGGGGGCCCACTCGATGGGAATGGGGAGTAAGGAATAGAAAATGAATAGGTGGCAGATGGGGAGTAATAACTCGAACCCCAACAGCTCATCCTTCAGCATGCAAATGATATTCCTTCCAGTGTGTAAAGTGTCTTAGTGATGGGACATTCCTCCTGAGGGAGCTCAACACCCTCCTGGGGCTCAGTGCTCCGTGAGGAGCTCACCTCCCGAGATTCAGTACTCGGAGAACAGAATCTTCTCAAGGGAGGTTTAAGTGTTCATAATTAAGCCCTCGCTGTGAAAGGGGGTATAGGGGCTCAGCTCTCAGTGTTAGCTCAACAGGTGTTCAAGGGCTTGGAACTACCCATTATTATTATTATTATTAACAGGTCAAAAGTAGTCCCAACTGAGAGAGGGGAAGAGTAGGGGGGTGCTAGATGATGGGGTGGGAAGGGGGGAACGAGGCGTTGGAAGGTGAAGGGAAGGGGGGGGGATATAGGGGGGAGGTGGAGCGAGATATGGGCGGGGCGTGTGGGCGTGGCGGCATTAGTGCTTTGTTATGCTGATGACGCCCCCAGCCCGGCAGACCTTCGCTCTGCTATCCGTCTTGTTGATGACCCATCGTCTTGAGGAAGGAAGGGTAGGCGCTTACCTAGGTAAGAGGTGAGGGAGGGGGGGGGGGGGGAGTTTAAACCACAGAGAGACGTAAAGATCTTCAGCGCCGGGAGGAGCCGGTCGGCCGAGCGGACAGCACGCTGGTCTTATGATCCTGTGGTCCCGGGTTCGATTCCGGGCGCCGGCGAGAAACAATGGGCAGAGTTTCTTTCACCCTATGCCCCTGTTACCTAGCAGTAAAATAGGTACCTGGGAGTTAGACAGCTGCTACGGGCTGCTTCCTGGGGAGTGTGTAACAAAAAGGATACCTGGTCGAAGACCGGGCCGCGAGGACACTAAAGCCTCGAAATCATCTCAAGATAACCACTTTATTAACGTTTTCTATGCTTCGTCCTCGATAGGTTATATAGGTAGGTCGTATTGGGTTTGCATATTTTTGTTTAGGCAAAATAGCTGTATTTTTTACGGAGTGGCAAATGAAGAGAACAGACTAGTATATTACTATGTTTCTTGTGGATAGCTGGGTTGGGAGAGAGAGAGAGAGAGAGAATTCCCGCTAAACACACACCGAAACTACGACGTTGCTACAACGTTGGAACATGTTTTAACACCTCCTAACCAGTTATAACAACCAATATAGCAAGTTGTAACAACGTTCTAAACACGTTAAGCCAAGATGTAACAACTTTATTACAAGTTGTAACAAGCGGAAAATAGAGACAGTTTCGGTTTGTGTTTCCAGGGTTAAGCATTTTTGTAATGGCGGAAGAAGCAGCAGCAGCAGCAGCAGCAGCACCAGCAGCAGCACCAGCAGTACCAGCAGCAGCAGCAGCAGCAGCAGCACCAGCACCAGCAGCAGCAGCAGCAGCAGCAGCAGCAGCAGCAGCAGCCAGCCAGCAGCAGCAGCAGCAGCAGCAGCAGCTCCCGCAGGCAGAATAATGTGATAGACAAGGCAGGCTTTTTTCTATGTGTTTTTAAGTTTTCCCCACTCAAGATAAAGCATGGGGGGGGGAGGGGGGGAGGGGGGAGTGAGGGTTGTTAAGGTGCTTTCTTCCAGGAAGAGTCTGTCCATTTTCACCACGACGAAGCCACTGGCCAAGAAAGGGTAGGATGGAAGAGGAGATGTAATGAGAAATGGGAGGAAGAAACAGGGACGAGGAGATTTACACAAGGGGGGGGGGAAAGAAAGGTTTGGTGGGATGAATTGGCTAGGAAAGAAGGCAAGAAAGTGGGAGGGGCGCTAGAATGGGCAGAGGCTAAGACAAAGATGGAATGATAACTCAACATGTGATAATTTGATGGAAGAAGCTGTTGCTTGCAGTGGTCGGCATGCCGGCGGCATATTAACAACCTGGCTGGTCCACCAAAGTCCATTCCATGCACCCGCCAAAACCCAAAGTCCCCTGTTTATGAATGAAAAACGGTTTACACACGACTCACAACTGATAACGTTCGAACACTTCCGGAACAAGTGCTTCGCTGACGAATTTTGTTCGAACCACAACGCTGTAAATGCTTCACCCCACGTATTACAAATACAAATAATCGCCAACAGAACCTAAAACACCTAACCTAACCAATGCCTAAATATGTACAGTATGCTAATATATAACAATATTAATTTATATTTGAGAAAAATCCTTATTTTGAATGAACATGTTAAAATTGTTGAATGCGTCTTTAGGGTCGACACGCTGGATGGAATGGACTTGATCTGAGGACGGCTGTTCGCGTGGTGGTGGTGGGGGGGACGAAAGTGTAAACAGAGAGGGGGGAGGAGGTGAGACGGTATTAGGATGGTGTTTACGAGACAGATATACGAGTTTAGAACAAGATTCGTCAAGCATTTACACAACTGATGGAACCTGACATCTTTCTAGAATTATGGTGGCTTTGTTTATATTTATTAAACAGTTTATGTGTTTGGAAACGTCACAACCCAGGGTTATTATCATGAACAACCTAGGTTGTGTTTTGGAGTTCGTAAATTGCTTAATAAATGTAAACGAAGCCGCCATGATTTGGGAAAGATATACAGGTTCTGTAAGTACGTAAATGGGGGATCATTTATGCTGATGTACTGAGTAACTGTTTTGAGCTTTCGGTCTCCTGGCTCTTGATCCCATTTTCATCATCTTACACTTGCTGGTGTTGAATTCTAGCAGCCATTTCTCGGACCAGCTCTGCAACCTGTTTAAATCATCTTGAATCTTACACCAGAAATGCTTGATGAATCCTGACCATGTGTCTTCTGCTGCAATTATTTCATTCATCATG